GGGGGAGAGGAAGGTAAATGCCTGTGAGTTAATGATATTAGAGGTGGGGAAGGGGAGATGTCTGTGAGTTAATGGTACTAGAGGTGATAATTGGGGAAGCTATCTTTGTAATGGGTAAGGTAGTTGGGGTCTTTGTTCAGCCCCCTGCGGAGAGTGTCGAATTTTAGCATGAATGCCAGTTCAGAGGATTCCCTTTCAAGTGCAGATTTGAATGTCTTCTGAAGTAGGATGCATGTGATTAGGTCATTGAGACAGTGTCCTTTCTGGTTGAAATGGCAAGAAACTGTTTTTTCTTTGTGATCCTGTCTAATGTCTGTTTTGTGGGCATTGATTCTTTGGCGAAGTGTCTGAGACGTTTGTCCAATGTACATAGCAGACGGACACTTTCGGCACATGATAGCATATTTCTGGATGCGCAGGAATATGTATTCTTGATCTTATAACTCACTTGGTTAGGCCCAGTGATGGTGTCAGCAGAGTGAATATGTGGACAACGCTGGCAACGGGGTTTGTTGCAAGGGAAAGTACCAGGGTTGGTATTAGTGTGGTATTGGTATGGCCCACGAAAGCTCATCATCTAATAAACCATCTTGTTAGTCTTTAAAGTGCTACATTGTCCTGTATTTTGTTTCAGCTACACCAGACTAACACGGCTACATTTCTATCACTTTCCTAACTAGGTGGTTTTAATTCTTGCAGAGCTGGAAAATCATGTAGGCCTGAGCCGCACAACACAGTTAGGTCAACACAGGCTTTGTTGACCTCATTGTGCATGTAGCAACACGTATATGTGTCTCCCTCCGATTAGAGACACAGTAACAAACAATAATTGAGCTATGGTCCATATACTGAAGTCAGCGCCACATGAGCATAGACACTGCCTTACTATATTGTCCCCAACAGTTCTCCAGCAGCTGTCTCACAATGACAGGCACTGCCAACTCTTCTCACAATTGTGAGTTGCATTGCTCAGGGATCACAGAGGCAGGAATCTCCCCTGCCACCCTGCCCCCTGCACCTCCACCAGTTAAAAACTTAGGAAAATGGAGAAGTGCCTTTTCCTGATGGCCTAGCTGGCCATGCCAGCCCTGCTCTCCAGAGGCTCTCCAGCCTGAAGCACACAGGAGACACTAGATCTCCTGGGCCCGCTGTCAAAGTGTGACATCTCTAAGCAAGTTGCCCGTGGCTGCAGGGGAAGTGATGCAATAGGGATTGGCAGCAGCGCTGCCTGAGAGTGAAGGAACTGTGGCAGGGGCACCCCCTGCCATTTTTACAAAGTGCTGCTTGCCACTATTGGTGGAACCGCCCCACACATTGCA